GGAAAGTTCAGACTCAATTAAAACTCAGTACACTGGGCTTCTCTAGTCTCCAGCTGTTAACACTTCTGTGCTAGTAAGTCCTCTGTGCTTGTTATGAGGTGATCACTTTCAGACTGGTTGGGTTATTTTTAAGGCCATCAGTGCAATTCTCCAATTAATCTCTGCCATTCCATCATAAGTAACAAGCTGATCTGTTGCCAGTATGGTTATACCTCTGACTTTAGGCCTCGTGCTAAAGAATACATATTAGACAACCTTATTTTGGTTCTGGTATGACAGAAATGTAAGTCTGAAGGAAAAGATAATTTTCCATTGATTGGGGTCAATAAACTGCAGGGCACAATATTTACAGGCAGAACTTTAAAGATACTCAGTTTTTATTTTTGATTTGCATTCAAAACCAGGCACCTAAGATAACTTCCACATTCAGAAGTTCTCTGTCAGTCACTGGCAATCTCTCCCAAATTAGGGACCAATTGACCAGGCATAGAAAAATTGGCTTGCAAAACTTCCTACTTTACAAGGAAGTGTTGTGCAATTTGCTTTATTTTCTATTTCAGTAAAACACATTACCAGTGTTAAAATAAGGATAAACAATATCATGTATCTCCCTCCTCCAACCCCTGACCAGAAAGCGCAACTCCACGGCTGCTACCTTACCTTCTGAAATAGCCTTCTTGATAGCTGCAAGGTAAGCATCAGGCTCATCATCATTTGTGAGCTCTTGCCACTGAGACCAGTCCTTGAAAAAGGTCAAATAGTCATCACAGTCTGTAACGCCGCAGAACAGCTTGACTACTTTGTAGGGGGGCCATAAAGCTTCCTGAAGGCTCTGCAGGACGGGAGGGAGATAAAAACTCTGCACCAGCTCAGCAGATAGCAAAAGGATGATGCTCCGACTTCTGCTGAACAGGTCCAGCTCCTGGTGGGAGATGGCAGACTCGCCTTCCAGCTGGTAGCTCAGAATCCGGTGTTTTCTAACGTGCCGAGTAAAGAGGAAGAGGTTCTGAAGGTACTGACACCATTCGGTGGCGTCACTTGCATATACGATCAGCACATCATATCCTCCAGGGGTGCCTGTGCAGGTGCAAGATGATCACAGGGAGGAGGATTAAATTCAAAGCAAGAACTGACCCACAGCTTTGTAGCAAAAAACCCACAGAGCTGTCCCATTAATTCACGTCAGAAGCTCCAAAGCACTTAAAAGGAACAGTAAATATATCCAAAGCGAGGTGTTCACAGCCACAGAGCAATTCTAAGGGTGGCTGAACTCCTACTTGCATTTACCCCACTAAAATCTAGTGTAGGTTTTTCATTCTCAAAAACCCTCCTATGAAGAAGGGGATTTCCTATGTAGTTTCAAGTGAAACAAACCACATGTGGAGATTTACAGATTTAAAGCACGTTGATAGGAAAAAAACCCACAAAAACCCGACCTCCACAACTAACTAGCTTGAAAAGGAGAGTTCACCTTTACACGTGAAGTTAAATCATTTTAGGCAACCATAGGGTCTCTGCAACACAACTGCAGACGATTACTTGCTCAAGCAGAGTATACACTAAACAGGGCACATCTAAAATAAGAAAGGCCTTTATTTAAATGAGGTCCCACAACGCTTACAGGAAGTCACTATGGCTTCCATGGTGTTAGACATTTGCCTTCATTGCAGCAGAAAGCAAACTGCCTGCAAAGTATGCGCGCAAGTGAAGGGTACGCCAGCCCCAGTACTTGCGGCACAGCAGTCCTATCATTCAGGCTTCAGACGCTTTGCAAGCCTGTGTTAGAGTCCTTCCCCCAGAACTGTCATACAAAGGCTTCCCAACCGTTTTGGCATGACAAACCCTCTCTTCAGAGGGAAAGAACTAATACACTAGTGGTGGCCATAACACAGCCCAAAATACACTCACCAAAGTTGACTTATTCCATAATTCTCTAGAGACAGCTCCTGCCTACACACTCCTGCATTTCTGTGCTCTGGAATGAAAGCACTTTTAAAACTGTTCCCAGCTTGCCGAGAAGATCACATGCCAATTGAACCAATATGACATGATGCAGTGCTCTCCCACCAATCTCAAGAAAACTTTTAAGCCTGAATTTAATTTTCCTGTTCACCTGTGAATAAGTTTACCCAGATCTGAGGATTACGGCTCTGGTCCCATGGCAAATTTCAGTGCTGAGCATTTCGAACCTTATTAGTAAATTGTCTTCTAATTCCAGTTTGACTCTTTAGAAGTGTCAACATTTCCAACCCATCTCCATCCAGAAGCAAGCAAAGGCAGATTTTTCTAATTAAAGTAGAAGGCAATGCCTAAAATTTGGCATGCCAAAGAGAGTATCTGCAGAGAGTGAATTTACCAGAATTGACGATGACAGTTTTGCAGTCACCTTATTAAAATTCAACCAAAATTGAACAGCCTCCACAGACTCCATTTTGCCACCTTCCCCAGAACATTAAGAAATGAAGGCTGAAATGATGTCTTAGGCTACAGTACCCCAGCTCTAAACCATACAATTACAAACTTTAAATTGTAGTTGAGCAGAAGCGGTACAGTTGAGAAGTAAAGCATGGAGATGTGCTCTGTGCTCAACCAATAGCATTACGGTTACCTGCATAAATGGAAAGTCTCTAGCAGTGAAAGGATGATGCCCTAGCTATGGAGAACACAGACACTGCAGTTCAGCAGTATTCACTAGGACGGCTGCATGTTTCTGTGTGACTACAGCTCCTGAACCCCAGATGGAGGCTTGTAGGAGACAGCATTCTCAATGGAGGGGATCCAGCAAACTCATAAAGCAGACAAACAGACTGAAAGCCTTGGGACTGTTAAGCTAAGATTGCAAAACTGCTGTGAAAAAAGATGGCTTTCACACCAGTGAGATCACCACTATCGCCAGAATACCACTTCTGGCTGAACACCACCTGACAAAGACAACAGAATCACATGAGGAGAAACGGCAAAAGCAAGCAGAACTCAGGAGGCCAGTTGTTTTATTCTAGAAAGGGAGGAGTACTGCAGACTTCTGCTTCCAGTGCCACGTGTTGATTTACATGCACTACAGTGGGAAAGGGCAGCACAACTATCTGACATGAACAGAGCCCACACACTGCAACACAGCCAGCTGAGCCCAACCTCGTCAGATGGGGAGACAACGCAGCGACTCTCTGGGGTGTGCCCAGGGCTCCTAATGTCCTACCCTGGCGCTCTCTGGGAGAAATCCCACCTCTGGACTCTGGGGAAAGCAGCACTGGCTTCCAGGGCATTTTAACATTCTGTAAAACGGAACACCTAATTCTACCATGCATTTTTTTAAAAAAGCACAGCTTCCACAACTACACCTGTTAGCAAACAGGCCCTTCTCCAGTCTTTCAATGAAAGGAAGCAGCTGTGCTTAGAGAGGACATAAGATGGTGGTGGTGGGGTCATTGATTTTAAACGTGCATTGTGCTGCAGGGGCACTAAGTATCCGAGAAGCCTCCCTTCTCCGATATGTAGGCAAAAGATGCAAACTTGACAGACTCTCTGCAAGTTCCCTGCCAGCATTTATATCCCCAGAGACAACATCACCCAGAGCAGTGTAGCCTCTGCACCCAGCAGGAAGGAACTTCACCTACTGTTTAGGAAAGGTATGGATTCCCTGGATAGCGCTGCTCCACCGGCACACCATTCCCCTTAACAGAGCTGTGCCAGCTCTCCTCAGGCCCTTTTACTTCAACTCTTATAGCCTTTTACATTTCTAGGATAAACTGAGGAACAACGGTTTTAAAAGGAGAACTGAGAAATAAAATTACTGACTCCACTTTTAGAGCCACGGAAACTCTATGTTCATAAGCAAAAATACTGGAAGTGGGTCTTAAAGAGCTAAATAAGCATAAGTCAGCAATGGGACTGTTACAAAGAAAACAAAAAAACTAGAAATAGTTTCGATTGCAACATCTTTGAAAAGAAGGATGACACAGGACTCGCTTTCCTGGATCATGCTATTATTTGTCTAACTAAATACCTCCCTTTGCAGCACCAACTACTGTCCAGTCCTCAGGGAAAAGTCTAATAAATGGACAATACAGAATGTTTGGGGGAGTTTTTCCCACAACTCTTCACACAGCAGTTACAGAAAAACTCACAGAGCACACTTCAAAGTACAACATATACTCTGCCTATTGTACATATATAAGGAAATCCCTAGGTGAACACTAAGCACTTTATTTCTTTAAACCCTGAACTTAGATGCTTTGACAGTGCGTTCAACAGTCTGGTTTTGGAAAAACAAACACAAGGAAGCCTTCAATTCAAGTAAGAAAGATATGAACAGTATATGCAATAGCAAGATGAAGAAAGATTTGTGCCAGCCAACCGTTTCAAAAATCTTTCATGCTCTGACGTGTAATCTAGTTTAAATGTTAACAATACCTTGTTTCTACATTCCTAAACTTAGGGTATAAAAGTGATTTTTGCTTCTGTTTACAAAATGTTAGCACTATTAATAATATTACAGGCATATTTGTTTATTTCGTAGAAAAACATCCAGGTATGGTTCTGTTCCAGTTTGCAATGATAAAACATAACCTTTGGACTCCTTTCCAGCTGTAGCTGCCTCTTCAGTGCTTAGTTGCACACTCCATTATACAGCAATGACAAAAGACTGATGAGACTACAAACCAGTACTGCAGAAATGCCTAAGACCTCTAATTGAGGTAGAAGGCCCATAGACTAAATAGCACAGAGACAGAACGTGATACAAAGCTTCCCCTAGCTTATAAACCGCATGCAGGATGGAAGGGGATGAAGCAATTCAGTCCAAATCTTGCCCATGGCAAGAGAATAAAAGTATACTGTAGTGACAGACTATATCACATCTTCGTAGTCCCTCTCTGAGAAGCAAACAAATCAGGCTCATCTTCGGACCATGTTTGGGAGTAGTGAGGTGACAATCTTCGAGTTCAGAGCAAACATGGGATAGTGGTTTATGGCCCTGTCATAAGGTTCTGATTACCACTGAAATGGCTAAAGAATACGGCGGGAAGCTGGTGTATCAGCTCTGGGTAAGACTACATCTTGCCCCCTTAACACTTCCTAAACTCGAATCAGATGTCATCAAGTGGCATTACCTATTATTACATTCTACAAGCCAAAAGGTTTGACCTTTTTCAATTTACAGATCATAAATAGTTTTCCATTGTACTTGCGGGTCCCCATAAAGTAAATTCAGGGCCTCTAATACTGCACAGCTTTTCTGCGTTACCTTTCACATCCCTCTCCTAAGAAGACTATGACTTCTCATTGTCCACAGACCAGGTAAAAAACTGACAGACAAATCCTTTATTCCAACTCAGACGATCATATGCAGTGGCAAGCAAATCTATTTTCCACCTCAAATTAGGACTAAATGAAAAAGCGCTACACAGCCCAGCCTGTTATCAGTTTGCTTTGGGATTCATGTGTATGGAGGATACAGGAATATGGCAGTCGAAAATATGAATCCAAGAGGGATCCACTTCCTATGAAAGACAATTGCCTATGATATAAACAAAATCCAACCCAAGCTGTCTTAATAATCAAATTCTTAAAAGAGAGAGCACTTCCAAGAGGTATTAGAAGCTGCTAGTAGGCCATTAACAGAAGTCCTCAGCACCTTTCATATTTCAGTGTCTGAAGTGCGTGTATTTAAGTGATGTATGAGGAAATGAATGCATTCTTTGCCTAGCTGGAATGCAAAACAAAGTAACAGTGATCACATGAAATAATTATTAACATCCTAGCAAGACCCCTCACTTCGACTGGAATACAAAACCTTTGCTTTAAAAAAAGTGCTGCAAACAAGCAAGAGGAAATAGCAGAATCAAAGTAGATAAAAGTTTTGCGAACCAAACTTCAGTGATAGGAACACAAGATTTGCATTAAGATATGTGAACCTAAAGTTGTTCTACTTTTAAGAGTCTCTCTGAAATCACCTTCTGTTTATAAGGAGAAAAGTAGTTTTGCCCACAAGTCTCCTGAGGCCTCCCTTTAGCTTATTTTTACATCACAAGGAGATATGCGTCAGTGAAACACTAACGTTACTTCACACCCTGAGAATGGCACGTTTTTCCTTTTTTAGATAAAACACGTACACTTCCCTGCAGGGAGGGGAACTTGCAAGTTGGGCACTAGCAAGACTTACACAATATAGGCTAAACCCCTCTCCCCCTGGAGTTCGCAGCTCTATTCTAACCCGTTTTACATGCACACGTTAGCTAAAACATTTTCTTTGATGGCAACCTAGCTCAGTTTGTTTGGATCCTGTGCCACTGTGGCAAGGGGCATCAAGTCATACCCCAAAAAGGAAGTATGCAAATGTAGGGGAATAAGGCAGTATTTAGGAAGAACTAACTTCTCTACAAAACATCGCAGAAAACCATCTAGGTGGTAAAGGCTGAGCAGGGACAGGTTCCTCTACACAACACCCTCCCTCAGGGCTAGCCGAGCGGCCAGCCCGAAGCGCACTCAAGACGCAGACGAGCTCTGCCAGCACCTGCCCCGAGCACCAGCCAAGCCAAGCAAGAGAAGGCAGAAAGCGCAGCAACCTGGCTGCGAACAAAGGAGCCGCCGCAGCTCTGAAGAGCCCCGGGGCTCGGACCCTCCTCCCCCTTTCCCCCGCAGCGGAGGGGCGCCGCGGCGGGGCCGGCCGCACAGCAGCTCC